TTCATGACTTGAAATATATTGCATGTATTTTATGCCTCCCAGTCAGTTTGGATTTTTTTTTAATTATAATCTCTAAGCAAACTATTTTTGATTCTTTACAGACTCAATTTAAAGAAATTCAGATCAACCTACTAATGCTTATACTTACCATCAGTAGCAGCGATGGTGAATTCATCACCGCAGGAAACTCTGATGACCTGTTTTCCCCCAAGGGGCCCTCCTAGTAAATTAATGCCTACGTGCTTCTTATAATCGCCAACACCCAACTGTCCACACTTATTGGAGCCAAAAGTAAGCAGACGACACCGTTCTGAAATAAAAACAATTATGTCATTAGGAAATAATAATGCAGAAAGCTGAGAAACAGTCAAATAATATGTTGCGAGCTGTAATGCAAGACATCATTTAGACCACTTCATCATTATTTCTTCTAAGGTTATAGATTTCCTTTCCATGGTAGCATGACAAGAGAAACATTCATCTTAAGTATATCCAATAGGTAATAGGCATCATTTCACCATATCTTTACCAACATCAAACGTTTCTATTAGTATTGATTATGGTCAAGATAATTTAAGTGAGACACAGGCCCATCTGAAATTTTGAAAACAAAGTGGCTCTGGTCCATTGACAGTGTAGGTATATTAAGTGACAAGACTCCAAGGTCAGTAGAATACAATCTTACTAGAGCAAATCCTGAGGCACTCTACCATTTTTATAATGTTATATATACAATTTCAGATTATCTCATTGCTTATCAGGTAGAAATATTTCCAGATAGGAATGGATCTGCAATCATTTTGTTTTTCTTGTCAAAGAATGCCTATATGGAGCATGTTCATGCACACATGAACAAATACACATATTTATTTCAGGAGAATTATTGAAATAACAACCAGGCTGCAGATATCTTGATATAAATGGTGTAATTGTATAGTTAATGTAAATTAATGTAATTTAATTTTAGTACTGTGCCCCCCCCCCCAGGTTCAGTAGAACAGTCTCATATTAGTCCTTTGGAGACTGGGTTAATTAGTTTCACCATCAGCTGCCAGAGGGCAATCAGCACAGTCAATCTGGCAGGAAGTTGTAAGTTGCTCCTGCTCCCACTGATTTGTTGACCATTGTCATTCTGTTTCTTTGTATAGATAAGAAAATAGGTCTGAAACTATTACCCAAAGGGTCATGTGTTGTCTAATTGGTGTACCTAGCCACAGAAATGGTAGGTTCATAATATCATCTCATTCAATTCCCCACTGCTAGGAATTTCAGAGTTAACATTCAGGATTTTATTTTTAATCCAATAAACTATTTTTCCCTGCTGACTACAGTGGTGTGAAATAGTTTACGGAGCTAATGTAACAGGTTTAATATGGATTATTAGTTTAAATGTGCATTAATTGTAGTTGTAATTCCATCTTTCAGATAGAGGAAGATAGTTAAAAAGTCAAATACACAGTAAGTATGCTTAGTTGGAAGAGGGGAGAATTGTAGAAACTATCTTAAGTATCTGAAAAGCATCCAAGTAGAAGATAGGACTGAACTGTTCATGTTAATTCAGAAAACAAGACAGGAAACAAAAGTTTAAATTACAAAGAATTAAATTTAAATTAGGCATCTGGAAAATATTACTAAAGGATGTTTAATAGAGCAGATTGCCTTGGAGAATAATGAATTCTCCTTTGGTGGAAGTATTTAAAAAGAAATTAGATGGCCATCATTCAGAGATGCTCGACTAAATGCTTCCTGAATTGAGCAGAAGATTGGACTAGATCCGGGATGGCGAACCTATGACACGCATGCCACAAGTGGCATGTGGAGCCACTTCTGAGGGCTCACAAGGTGTTGCTCTGTCAGTTCCAGCAAACTGGTGGCACACGGAGCCATTTATCAGGACACGTGAGTTCAGCTTTTTTTTCCGCCCTCCCCAGGCTCCAGAGGCTTTAAAGGAGCCTGGAGAGGGCAAAAACAGCCTCCCCCCACCAGAGGCCCTCTGGAGGCTTCAGGAGCTTCCCTGAAGCCTCTAGAGTGCAAAAAACTGGCCCTACGGGCAAACCAGAAGTTCAGGAACAGACTTCTGGTTTGCTTGTAGGGCCGGTTTAAGCCCTCTGGAGCCATCAAGGGCCTTCCAGAGGCTTCCCTGAAGGCTCCAGAGGACAAAAAACGACCCAGTGGACAACCGGAAGTCATTTCTGGTTTGCTCGTAGGGCTGTTTTTAGTCCTCCGGAGCTTCAGGGAAGTCCCCTGAAGGTCCTAAAGGCTCTGGAGAGCTTAAACTGGCCCTACAAGCAAACCGGAAGTCTGTTCCTGAACTTCTGGTTTTCCCATAGGGCCGGTTTTTTGCACTCCGAAGGCTTCAGGGAAGCTCCTGCGCTCCCCCCGCTTATGGCCTGCAAGCCAAAAAAGGTTTGCCATCACTGGACTAGATGATCACTAAGGTCCTTTCTAATCTTTAAGTGTTATCACTCTATAACTCCTAATGGCTGCATCAATGCAGTTACCTGTCAATGCTACTGGGATGGTTTGCATTACCTTCTTCCAATATTTTGTTTTTATTCTATAATTATACTTAATAGCTTTAAGATTCCCAGACTGTTACTTATATGAGTGAATAACAACCCTAAAGTGACACTGCTAAGATTAATTTGCTGCCACCTACTGAAGTTGTAGGTTAGCTTACCCTTATCTAGTAATAATACTACATCACAAGATAATAATTTAATCTTACCATCGATGGCAGCAGTATGTGTCTTTCCTGGGGCAATAGTGCGAATCTTGTAGAAAGAGAGTTTCTTGGCCAAAGTGAAAGTTGTAGCATATGGGATTTCTTGATAAGCCTATGAGAAGACATCAAT